CTGGTCCCCCCTCGTCGGCGAGCACGTCGCCCCACCCGCCGTCACGCCACGCGTCGGCGCCGCCGCTGCCGCCGAAGTCGAAGCCGCCGCCGCCGCCGCCCTCCTCAACGGCCTTCTCTGACAGAGGTAGGAATAACAGGGAGTCGGGCTGCCAGCGCACCACCCTACATGGCGCCATTGACTCCAAAAACTTTTTTTCGAAGCCCAACGCGGGAAGGGCGCTCTCAGGGCGAAGAAGATCAGCGGCTCGCTCGACCTCGCGCCGCACGCCTCCTACTCGCGGCAATCGACGACGCTCTCGGTCCCGCTGGCCAAGGGCGCCGCGACGCTGCACCTGCAGCTGACGTCCGCCTGGCTCAAGCGAGGGCTGGGCGGCGGCGACGACTCGGACGGCGCCTCGTCGTCCGCCGTGTCCGAGTCGTCGATCGGATCGTCGGTCGCCTCGTCGGCCATGTACGCGCGACGAGGACGGCCTCTCCGAGCGCGGTCTCTCCGAGCGCGGAGCCGACTCGGACGACTCTGCTGCGTCGGAGCGGTCAGACGTCGATGCGAGCGATCGGCGCAGGAGCAGCCTGTCCGCACCTCCCCACGAGGCGTGCGACCCGCCCCTGAGGGCTGCGGGAGCCTGCCGTAGGACGCGCACTGGATCGGCGGCGCGGGCGGCCATCCGCGCGGCGAGCTTTGCGGCAGGTCGGAGGCGCCTTGTATGCCCGGACGGACGAAGGCTGGCTCGGCCACCTCCCGGCACGGGCACGCCTCAGCGGCGGCTACTGGTGCGCCGCTCGCGCTGCCGAAAACAATCGAAGCGGCGGCGGAGATCGGCAAGGTCGATGTGGTGCAGACGTGGCTCAGCGGGGCTGGGCGGGTTGACACGACGTGCGTGAATCGCGGTGTGAGTGGCCGTACGCTCCTGCTGATCGCCGCCGTCAACTGCCACAAGCAGCAGCTGGTCGAACTGCTGCTGAAGCGCGGCGCGGAGGCGGACGCGCGCGATGGCCGCGACTGTACGGCGCTGATGGCCGCCGCCCGCTGGGGCTACGAGCAGGTGGCCGAGATGCTGCTGCGGCACGCGGTGCAGGGATCAACCTGCAGGAACGCAAGCACGGCGCCACCGCGCTGATGCTCGCCGCCTGCTTCAACCACTCCGCGGTCGTGCTCCGCCTGCTGCGGGCGGGCGCGGACATGACGTTGCGCACTGAGGACGCTGCAAATCGCCAAGGAGGAGGGCCACGCCGAGGACGCATCTCGGGGTGGTGGCTGCGAGCCGGCGCGAGGCGGCGGCGGTCGAGGCGGGCGGCGCAGGGGCGGGCGGCGCACCTGCAGGCGCGGCGGCGGCGGGCGCCAATGCTGCGGTTTCTGCAGCTTCGAGCGGCGAGGCTGGCGCGGAGGCCGAGCCGAGCAGCGGGGCGGTGCGAGAGGAGGTCGTGCAAGCGACTGCGCGAGGCGACGAGGCGGCGGTGCTGGCGTGGCTCGACGACGGCGGGCGGGTCGACGCGAGGTTCGTGCACATCTTTTTGGGCGGCGAGCGTGTGAGCGGCGTGACACTGCTGATGCTCGCAATGATGAAGGGCCACGAGGGGCTGGCCGAGGCGCTGCTCCAGCGCGGCGCGGATCTCTCTCGTTGCAGAACAGCGACAGCGCCACTGCGCTGATGGTTGCCGCCGCGTATGGTCGCGAGAAGCTGGTCGAGTTGGCGTTGCAGCACGGCGCGGCGATCGACCGGCAGTCCAACTCCGGCGCCACCGCGCTGATTCTCGCCGCTTTCTACGGCCGCCCCGCCACCCTCCTCTGCCTGCTGCGGGCGGACGCTGACATGACGCTGCGCTCTGAGAAGGGCAAGACCGCGCTGCATCTGGCCAAGGACAACGGCCACGCCGAGTGCGTGCGCGCCCTCGAGGAGCATGCGGCGGCCGAGAAGGCGGCGGAGAAGGCGGCGGCGGAGGCGGCGTGGGCCGCGGGAGCGGCGGAGAGGGCGGCGCAGAGGGCGGCGGAGGAGAAGGAGGCGGCGCGGCACGCCGAGGAGCTGCTGGCGGAGGTCGAGGCGGAGAAGCGCGCCAAGGGCAAGAAGGGCAAGAAGAAGAAGAAGGGCGGCGGGGCGGGCGGGGCGGGGCCATCGCAGGAGCCCGAGGAGGTTGCCGAGGCGCCGTCGGAGGCAGACGCAGCCAAGGCGGCGAAGAAGGCCGAGGAGGCGAGGCTTCTCCAGCTTCTCGAGACGCTCACCGAGGAGAGGATCCGGTTCGGCATCACGGCGCAGACGTCGGTCGAGGGGCTGGCGGAGGCGCTGGGAGAGGCGGCGGGCGAGGCGAGCGAGGAGGAGGGCGACGAGGAGACGGCGGAGGCGGCAGCGGAGGCGGCAGCGGAGGCGGCAGCGGAGGCGGCAGCGGAGGCGGCAGCGGCTGTGGCAGCGGCAGAGGAGGAGGAGGCTGCCGCAGCGGAGGAGGCGGCGGAGGAGGCGGCAGTAGCGGCGGCCGAGGCAGCAGCGGCGGCGGCAGAGGCGGCGCTCGCCGCAGCCAAGGCTAGGCGCGCTTCAGGTGCCGCTGCGAGGGCCAAGGCGCGGGAGGCGGCTTAGCCCGCGCGCAAGGACAGCTGGCGCAGTGGCAGCCATGGGGAAGGGTCTCTCGTACTCTGGGGTGCGTTCTCTCGGAACGGGACCGTGTTCTCGTGAAATGTGCATGTAGGGCTTGGAACCATCCGATGCTGAAAACGGAGGAATATCGAATATATATTTTACCGAAGTTTGCGGTGTCGTGAGCACTTGGAGCACTTGGAGTGCAGTCATTAGCCTCACATCCAGGGCCATCAAAATCTTACTCGAGTAATTCACAATCGCCCCGCAGCGCGAAGCCTCTCTCCTCGCGGCAGCGCTGGCACCTTTCACTCCGCCTTTTTTTTGCTTTTTTTTGCCGAGGGTTTGTATTTCTTTTTTCCGATGACATAAAAGTAGGCGTCCTCTGGCGGCCGGGGGACTCGAAGAAGCGATGCCAAGGAGAGTCGGCGTGAGCCGGAGGAGTAAGGTTGTCGATTCTCATCATTCTTCGCAGAAGCAGCGCAGACAGCTTCCGGCCACACCGCTGGCATTTTGGGTGGCTCTGCGTGCGCTACTTTGGATGTCACGCTGCCAGTCGATAATGCGGAGAGCCAACATCGCAATCAGGGGCGCAGCCACAATATGTCTCTTGCTATTGTATTCAATCCCTGCAACCGAAGCGTGCGGGTTTTCCAACGGAGCATGACGCGAGCCTGCGTTTCCAAACCTTGTGGGCTTGTGCTGTGAGTCGTGATGTGTTGCGTGCGCTACGTTCGCGTCGTCTGTGTGTGGGAGAGCCGCGCTCAGTATGTACGCGCGGGGTACTAGATCGAGCGTGCCGCGAGCGCTCCGCGGCCGACGCCCAGCTGAACATGAGGTCATGACCGTCTAAAGCCGCGCGGTGTACTCTCCTCTCTCGCCAGACCGCAGACGCCCGACGCGGCCGCTCTCGGCCGCGAGGCGCCCCACCATCCACCACATCTCCATCATTGATCGTATGCTGACCTCATGGTTTAAATATGCAATAAGCTCGGGACCGACCTCGTCCGAGGCAGTACACAGTGGTGACTCAGTATGCTCTCCGCTCCTCTCCTCTCTCGTGCAAAGTGAAAGTCTATATCCGTCCTGTCGCTGCTGCCCCGCCGCCTCTTTGTCTGCGCCCCCTCTCCGCCTCTCTCGCGCCCCCGGCTCGCCTCGGCCGCCACCCGCACGCAAGATGTACGCCGAGGGAGCAGAAGCAAAGAGGAGCCGGGCGCGACTGCGCGGGAGAAGCCCCTCCCGCCCATGTGCAGCGCAGCGCAGCCTCGTGGAGGCGGTGCGCGCGTCAGTCGAACAGCCCCTGCCGGGCGAGGTCGGTGTACCGATCAGGAGGGGGGTTCG